CAAAATGTTTGCTCTTCAAGCATTCATTCGTGGAATCGAAGTTCCACAAAGTAGGATGGATAGATAGAAGTGCAACCTTGTGGACAATCCAACTGCTTAAAACCTAGCAACAGCCCAGAAAGCGTTCCAGCATAGCAACATAAGAAAATTTGTCATGCAAAGCTATACAAGATGTAGAGTAGTGAGCTGGCCTATAAGGCAGATTTATCAGTCTAGCTGCAACGGAACGGAAATAATTTCGTTTGTGATATGGGGTGAATAGTAACGAATTTTCAAGAACATCAGTGAAGGCAATCACTATATCTAGTCACAGTGTGGCATGTATCCAATCGATGGTGCTCAAGAAGACGTTCGGAACCAACATATTACTGCCGTGGATTCAACGAGGACGAAGCAGCGGTAACCAACGGATGAGAAATAAGCATGGTCAAGTACAGCGATAATGTCGAATACAAGAAATGATTTGCAGTGTGTTTTCTGTATGTGTGTGAACACAGAATACTCGTTGCAAATCATTTTTTGAATGTTTAACATTTTTGCTTTGTTTAATTTCTGTGCTTCATAGACGGTGAAATTATTAAAACATTTTTGACGATAATTTTTAGTTTTTGTGCTTAATAGGACTAATTCAATTCAGGAAGTGGACAACAGATCTCTGAGTCACTACGGAATGCAGTAGAAAAAACTGGGGATGATGTAGCTTTCTGCTCATCGGAAGATGAGTATTCTCGAAAATTATATTTTATGAAGCGACTAGTGAAATCACTTGTTGTTGTAGGTTTTTTTGAAGTATTTCTACAATATATCTCAAAAATAACTGTCAAGTTTCGTATTGTTTTAGCTGGCATTTATGTATGTGTATTTTCATTCTTTTAGAAAAATGCTGCGCTGTGCGATGAGGTATCGCGATTGAATCAGCGTATGCAAACAGTTGCAGAAGAAAGAAAGTGAGCTTTTGTTAATACAAATGCATTAAATTCATATTATTGTGAATTTTGTATCTTTTCATTTTCCTTCCGAACAAAAAACGATCGAAATTACAATTTCTCTATTGTAACGAATACTGAACATAAAATTTATTATTTCTATTCACTTGAACTCAAACCTTTAAAGTTTAGAGTTTTGGCAAAGCGACTACAGCACCACGAACGTAATCGAATTCGAAGGATCCAAACGAAGTTAAAAAAGGTATTGTCTTGAAATATTAATTGCTTAAGAACTATAGTTTGATCACCGTTTCTATTTTATCATGTTTAATTGTGCTTTTGTCTTCACCACAACTTCGTTATTAAGTCAGGATTTCAGTTGAAATTGCTGTCCTAGCGAAGCCTTCTTCTAGAGACTGAAAATTTCTACCATGAGAAACACTTTTATTTAAGCAAGCCGCAGCCAAGGCTGCAAAAACAAATGAATCGCAGTCAACACAGGCATCAGTAACAACGGAAGTGGAACTAGAAGTATCGCAAGTTGCAGATATCGATAATTATGAGAGTGATTATTCTGACAAGACAGTCTTTTCTAGTGGTGCTGCTTCTCCAAACACTAGTGCATCAGTAGGTTGTTTATTGTAGTGTGACAATCTGTTTATTTATGACTTAAATTGGAATTTTAAGTGCATGTGTGCATAATAATTTCAATGTTTAATTTCAAATAAGCACTTTGTTCCTTTTGGCGGATCCCCTAAATTTGTTTTTAGATGTCGCGTGTTGAAACACCAGAACCAGCTTCACGCAATCAGGATTTTATGTTGAAATTTCTACCAGATCGAAGCGTTGTTCAAGAAAGCGGAAAATGGAAGATGAGAAGTGGCATTCGACGTCAGATTTTACCTAAACGTACTCTCACGGATCGCAAAGATAAAAAGTTGTCTTCCAGCTAATCTTTTGATTTAGAAGAATTTTCGCCATGAGAGATGCTTTTAATTGTATTTGGCATAATTGGCAAGCGTAATAAACAAAATTTTCTTATTAAAAAATATTTCTTCAGTAATAAATGAAGCAGTTTCACACCATACTTGATTGATCCTCATTCCTATCCTGTCTTTCAGTTTCCATTCTCATTGATAGGCCTCATTTTATTAAATCTCAGACGACATTTGATAATCGTTGCATTGTTATTGAATATTCAATTTGTTAACGGTGTTTGTTCTACTTTTCGTCTATTTTTTTCATTAATTACTAACGTTGCAGCCACGTTTAGACTGATTCGGTAACATGCATTTCTGCCTTATGAATTTTGTACACTTGTCATTGTTACAATACGATTGTATAAACTTAGTTTTCACATTTCACCATATTTTTTCTAATTGTTTTTTGACATGCAGGTTTCTTAAGGCTTCTCATGTTTTCATAATGGTGTATTTTTGATCCCTCAATTTACACACATTGATCTCAGGATCTTATCTGTCTTTACAATTTGTATATATGGCTGGTGAAAAATAGTATTTGGTGAATCACTTGATGGACTATTTTTGTTCATGATTTAAACGTGGATTATAAATCGGTATAAAGATATTAAATATAGAATTCTGCAACATTGTAGGTTTTCTTTTTTTCTAGTGACTGCTCAGTTGGTGAGTCGTCGTTGCTTACAAGCTATTTCGACTCAGTAAGTTGGGAGCTATCTCAATATTTTATATTTCGAGTTAGTAAAGGCTGTTAATCTAGATGTTTAGGTGGTGTCGTTTGGTAAGCTTGGACTCTAATTATAGAATTATGTTTAGTCACGTGATTTGAGGCCATTTCCCACGGCGCATATTGTGAGTTGGGTGTTGGAGCGGAAAATCTAGATTTAGTCATGACTGACTTTTTGTATCTATAATACCCCTTACTGATTGGCTTTAGACTACTAATGAGAAAGCTGCCTTTAAACTGGTATAATGTAATGAGTGTAGTGGGGGTGGGTATTCATCTTTTGAATCGTAGATCGAGTGAGTTATTTGCCATGACAGAACATTTTAAAAGTGGATTTTGTGCACTTCAGCATGCTTTAATCATATGACTCACTTCTATTAATGAATGAAAAATCACTGCAATGTTTCCATAATGTATGGTTTTTTACTTTAAGTATTCAGCGCAGTCTAGTCTTCTTGCTATTATATCTAAAAGTTGTCTGAATACTACAGTGTTATTCAATTTATACGAGTTGGAAGCGGTAAGTTATAAGCTTCAACCAACTCTAGCCGTGCGATAGATTCGTTTTCCCACTCTTGCCACATAAACTTGCCTTTTATTTTCATGCGCGAATTCTGGCGTTTGTATTTTGTTATCTTTAATTCTGAAATTCTAAATAATACTACGAATTCTATTAATGCATCAATAAAATTGCAGGGTCATTAAAATGAAGGGTGATTTTTTGTCAAAGAAGTTTTTTGCTGAAAGTTTATGGTAAAACATCTTTATTTGTTATTACTTTCAAGAAACTGATGATGAATCAAGATTCTGTGTACTACTGTGCGCTTATTTAATGCTATTCCAAATTTGCAGTTAATATAAACAAAAAGAACTATTCTAGTATTTACTTCATGTCTGATTTTGCATTCATATAAATTTGCATGCTTCGTATGCCGGATTTTAGTAAGTTTAAAGTATGTTTTGTAGTGATATTGAAAAATGAAGCCATAAACCAACATGTCGGGGGTGCTGGTCACATGTGGTGTGGCAGTATACCATCCTTCCTCAAATATACAATTAGTATAAGGCCATATTTGATATCGGAAGTTTCGACCTGTTGCATCTGACAATAAGTAGCCTAAAGCAGCAGAGCACGTTTTCACTTCTTGATACGTTTTACATATATTTTAACATTTGCATAGTGTTAAGATTTTACTGCAATAAACTAAGATTGCATGTCCTATGTATACCAAATAAAAAACTAAAGTTTGCTTAAGCTATCTTAAGAAAAGATTTCAATTAAAGTTTAAGTACATTTTAAGTCCGTAAACGTGGTAAAATTCCTTTTATTCTTCACTCAATCGTGGAAAGGTCATAGAATACATGTTCAAAATTTTTTTTGATTGACAAAGCACTTAGTGAATAATGGTAAGAATTCCTCTAATTAATAATACTATTTTTGTTACTATTAGTATTAGTACTGTATACTACTATTATTATTGCTATTACTATAATTGTTAGTACTACTATTAATGTCATTAATTGCTATCACTATCATTATTATTAATATGACAGTAAGGTTTTGAAAGTATGATTACCTTCACAGACGATGGGGAACATGCCCAGAAATAACATGACTGCAGTCACCATTGCTGAATTCCTTAGAAATATGCTGTAGCACAAAAATTTCTCTGAGTAAACATTTCTGCACTGGCTCGCAGTACCCTATTTATAATGCTCACGCCGACGCATTACATAACGGAAAGTATTTGAGCCCTTAATGATCGCCTTCCACTATAATATATGCATACCTCTGCCCTTCGCGCTATTCATGAAAAGTACACAAGAAATGAACGTGAAATTACCACATACTTATAACCTTTTGAGCAACTTGGTTTTCACCCTAGTTTTTGTCATTTTACAATTCAATTAATTTTAAATCTTAATGATTTTTGAAACATGCTGCAGGGCCAGACTTAGCCATATATTACACACTTCCTGACTTGTATCATGTGGTATGTCAGCTTATGACTTCAATACTTGATTGGCAGTGCATGAACATTTTCCGGAAGCGCTCGTTATAGTATGACAAAAAGTGAAGCGCTGTCTAATACTAAACTCATAGCAAAATGGACTTTCGTCTGGGATTACATCAGACTTACTTCTCGATGCAAACTTCAAACTGCTAACCAGCTTAATAATTGCTTTAGCGGGAACTTATTTCTGAAGTGAAGAAAGTTCCTTAAAATATACTTTAATCTCAAAAAGGTACTGAGGAACTTTGTAGGAGAATAATATCAGCAATCAAACACTGGAGTTGTATACTCGATAATACCCAACGTTTCTTGCCATACGCAACATTAACTCACGGGTTTAAGATGGATTGCAAACGGAGTATTTAAGATGTTGAAGATCACAAAACAAAGCTAATTATTCGTAATTATGCATGTACAGTCAATAATAGAATAGAACTATTTATTTTATTCATTCATTTATTTGTTTGCTTATTTTTAAATGTATGTATGTATTTATTCATGTACAATAAAACATTTAGATCCATCTGAAATGTAAACAAAAAACAAAATCAGAAATAGCCAGCATGTTAAGCTACAGCAATATCTTCTACTTCTTGAAGCTAGCTGAATTCGGTCTTTAACTAAAAATTATTAAAACTTTCATAACAACCAAAAATAAATCAATAATATACATTAATCACTGCAAGTACATAATCACCGTTCATATTCATATTCTCTGCAATAAACTGAAAAGAGAAAGCACAACTACGTTATTTCATGACATCTAATCAGGTTTTCCATCCAATATTTGTCAGAATCATTGTTATGCTGATATGTTAAAATAAAAAATGCATCTGTAAACCACATCAACTCGGCAAGAAATGATTTATATTCTCTATTTTCAACGATCAACATTCTAACACAGATCAAATTTGACTTTGCTTTACCGAGATTCCGTAAGAGACATTAAATAATGTCGTAATTCCTCCTTATTGATATGATCCGGAACCACCCAAGTATCACTTCCATCAAGTTGTAAAGGATGACGACAAAGAGGGCACCAGTCTTTCTCTATTGCTTTCCACTGCTCAATGCACAGTGAGCAGTAAGCATGCACACATGGTAGGATTACATCTGGTGTGCGTTCCATACAAATTATACATGTGCCTGAATTGCAGATTCTGAAATTTGAGAGTTAATATGCCTTGCTAGGTTCATCACTTTATGAAAAATAGAGTTATTATATGACAAAAAAATATGATTTGTTTTCCTATGGCCAATTTTCTTTCGCAATGAATTCAAATAGTTTAAAAAGATTAAAGAATATAATCGATCTCTCTATCAACCACGAAATCAAAAATACAACGTGAAACTTGGAGAAAAATCACAAAAACAACTTTTTACCTTTGGTGATGTGAATCAGGAGAATGTTCTCGAAAAAGTACTTCGCACGTTTCTAGAGCCGCATCTTCCAGCAAATAATTCAATGACTTCCGAAGATTGAGAAACTGCCCAAATGTGAACACGCGATAGGAATCCGCTGATTTTGCATTATTCTGAATCTATCTATGAAAAATAAATTGATCTATATATATATAAGAAAAAGGACAATATATAGTGAAATCTAGAGAGATATGAATATGGAATATATATTTTTTACTGACTATCAAAAGTCTTAATCCACTATAAAGCTACAATATGACAAGTTAGGCTCTAACATGTAAATGTACGCGTTAAACTGGAATTCCACTTGCAGTTAACTATAAAACCACAGTTTTGTTTCCATTTATAACCAATGTAAATACTAACATAAAACCTCAGTTTTAACTTGAGATCTATAAACGTCCAAAAATTCTTCATGCAATTATAGCTATTTATCAAATTGAGTATGAATAAATCATTACTTTTAATGAGCAAATCCGTACGGTTAATTTCCATAAAAAAGTATCTGCACTGCCTTTCTTGATTGCAAACAACACACGTCTTCCTCTAGCATCAGCAAGTTCCGCACACCTTAATGTTTCAATCTCATAATTGGATATAGACTAAAATTGGGATACCTGATACATAAATGAATATATACAGACTTAATAACAAAATTTTCTTCACAATTTATTCATACCAAAGAATTTTAGAAAAATTTTCACTAACCTCTTATTAAGATCTATGATAAGCTGAACAAACTGGGTCCATGTCATCGCCAACATCTCGAACGAGTTAAACGGCAATTTTGAAAACATACTTTGATCTTGACCCATTTGCCTACAGCGAAAAAACTGATGAATTTAATTAATACTGGTGGGTAGAATAAAAATCCTCTTCCTTACACTGGGAGTCTAGCCCTGAAACAGAATCCCAACCTCTTTCTTGTCCCTCTATATTCTGCAATGAGCATTTTCACAAACGTTCTTAGGACCGATCCGTTTTTCTTCTCAAAACATGGCCAGACCTAACAAACTGTTCAGTTCACACACTTCTCACTTGCTAAGATTTGAGTCACACTTTGTATTACGGGACAGTTATTCATAGCTGGCGCACTTTGTGCCAGACAAGGAATTCACTTTTGAGCAAGTACTTTCCAAATGTGTCTTAGATGGATGGCAAGAACACAAATGTAAGATTTTCTTTACCAGGAATTATTTATCATTTTTGAAATTGAAAATCATTCTTTGATTTATTATTAATCTTTATCTCTTTCCCCTTTATAATTATGTTCTGTAGTACAGAAAATGATCAGTTTTATTGTAACACTGTCTTATATGTGCCAAAATACTGTTGTTAAATTGTCTATTCAGTGATGCTCTAAGTAAACAAAATAAAATTTTTAGTCAGAGTTGTTTGTTGCTGATACCAGCTAGCCATTACGTCATGCAGTCATATGTGTCTGTAAATAAAATCATTTTTAAATTAAATTTTAAACATTCGTTCTATTTTTTTAAAACCTTATTCAATGACCTGAAATAGCTCAGGTTTTTTTCACCTTTCTTTTGAATTTACGTATTTTTATCTTATCAAAGAATACTTTCAGCTTAGAGGATACCAATCATCAACACAAGTAAAACGGCGGCGATTTTGGTATAAACTCCGAAATATGAATATTGCAAGATCGGGTACTATTATTAATTGATTTTTTATCTCTGAATTGTGAATGCGTAAACTTTTTCAAATTTTTTTTACAAGATGGTGTTTTTTGCTCTTATACTGATACATAAAAGATTTTGCTGAAATATGATTACAGATCAGCTTGCAGAAATTAATTTCAGAAACTGAATGGCCTGAAGTTGAAATCGGAACTGATAATGCATCCTCTGCTGTTGCTTTTGATGAGATTAACAGGACCAAAAGTATGGTAGGATGCGGTAGTGCAGCTAATTCATTAATACCACTGGAAGAAGTGGAGACAGTTACGTATTCAAAATCTTCGCAATCGGAGATCAGCTCTGGGTGATTTTTCTCGATGTTTTTGATGTCTGTCATCTCATTTTTAGCGATTCTTTCATTTTGTTTAATTGACAATCAGTGGTAATTTTGTGGTTTCATTCAAAGGGTTTTGTATATGTTAAGTATAGTTTTTAATTATATCCGTGTATGCTTATCATATAGTATCAAATTCTTAAGATATTCCATTAAAATGTTTAGTTTAAATTTCAGTAGACTTCAGGGAAATCATTGGAAAAGTTCGTGGTAGTTTACGTTTATATGATTACATTTTGTTTCAGTAATGATGAAGCTGTACATGCTGCTTCAGATGAAGAGTTCAATCTTTCTGTCATAGATTTTTATGGCTCAAATATTTCTTCCGAAACTTCTTGGATTTTGTTTCTACAAGTGTGATTTGAAACAAAGATCGAAATCTTTAATATTATATTCTAGTATAATGTACTTTTTATTATTCTAAAATCTATTTTATGTTTATTTTGCTTGAAAAATACTGCTTGAATTTCTTTTTTGCTTTGACTTAATCCTCCAAGTTTTTTCAGATATTACTACCATTCATCACTGCTGGTATTGGTATGGTTTTTGCTGGACTCGTCCTTGATGTGGTACAGCACTGGAATCTTTTTATCCAGGTGCGGTAATTGTTCATTAGTTTCATGATTTGGCATTTCTCATCGATTTCCAGTTGTCAGGAAAAACTTCATGTTTTTGCTGATTTTTTAGGTACCAGAAACATTCATTTTAGTGCCCGCATTGCTTGGTTTAAAAGGGAATCTTGAAATGACATTTGCATCCAGATTATCAACTTTGGTATGTTTTTCAATAAGTAGTATGTCTTATATTTATTTTTCCGGTTTTGTATTGTTATTGTTTGAGAAAGGCTTTCATTCTTCATATTGTTCATGTTTTTGCTTGTCATGAATTTATAGGAAAATTAAAATATTAGTTATTTGGCTGATTAAAATTGGCGTTTAAGTTATTTACTGCATTTAAATATTTATGAAAAAAAGTTGCTGATGATTTGGTCACCTACATTTTATTTCTAGTACTTTTTATTATAGACTAATATGGGACGAATGGACTCAAACGAAAGCCGTTGGATAGTTATTACCGCTAATTTATCGCTTATTCAAGTACAAGCAATTGTTGTCGCATTCCTTGCTTCTGCTTTTGCGATAGTTCTTGCTTGGATACCGAAAGGGCAGGTAATTTTGTAACTTTAAAGCTGCTCTGTGTCCTCACTGTTTTATTACCTGCATTTGATATTGTCGTCCTTAAAAAACAGCAAATTTATTGTTCTTCCAAGTACATAGAGCATTCAGTGTAAATATTCAACCACTTAATTTGACTTTTTGATGTATTTTTACCGTTTTTGCTACTTCATCTAGATAAGCTTCAATGAAAGATTATACAAATGTAGCAATAGAAACTCTTAATTCATTTTAAATTAAAAAAGGATGTAATTTTAAAACGTTAAGAATTGTAACATTGTCATATTAATCAAAAACAAAACAGCAAATTTTTAGTAATTATGATATTTTTTTCATTTGCTTTAATTTTTTTTAAGGCCCACAGATAAGTATCATCACAATATGCTTGCACTCTAAGTTTTATTATATCATTGTAGTGTTCCTTTTATTAGTTTTGAATTACAGTCGGCTTAAGATTCTTAGTATTTTGATCATATAGTGTGAGATTAATAAAGAAATCTACTCATCAAGTTACTACATTTTTAGATTGATTGGTCCCATGCTGCTTTATTATGCGCAAGTAGTTTAACTACTGCATCAATGGCATCACTAATTCTTAGTATTGTGATGATATCTGTTGTTTTATGTTCACGACATTTTGGGATCAATCCTGACAATGTTGCGACTCCCATTGCTGCTTCATTGGGTGACCTTACCACCCTGGGTATACTATCATTGCTAGGTAATAACGTTATTTTTGAGTCGCACAATTCATATTATTCGCCATGGCATAGATATTTTCTGCATTGTAGATTGAAATATAAGATGATTTCTATTCACTTATTTTTTTGTTCTTTGACTTAAATTCTGTCATATCCTTAAAATTGCTTTAAAATTTCTGAAAGGTTCTCTTTATACTTGCATTAAAAGTACTGATAATTTCGATTCCCTAGATAATAATTCATTTGATAAAGTATCACAGGTTCGGTATTCCTTCAAGCACATCTTGTTGAGTCTTGGCTCAATGTTGGTGTAATTTTAATGTTCATGACGGCTGCACCATTCTGGGCTTATTTAGCGAGAAAAGATGAAGGTAGCACCGATGTACTAGAAAATGGTTGGTCGCCGATCATAATCAGTATGTTGATTAGTGGTATGGGTGGTTTCATACTCGAAGGTGCTATCAGAAAATTTCCGAAAATTGCTGTCTTTCAACCTGTTATAAATGGTAAGTACAGAAATCATGCTGACTTTCCGAATGCAAAGCGTTTTTTAAATATGTTTAAAATTTCACGAACTTTATTCACTGCTTCATATGTTGCTAATTTTGGTAATTGTGAAATTTATCTTTGTTGATCTCAACATCATGTTTTATTATAGGAGTTGGTGGTAATCTTGCTGCTATTCAAGCTAGCCGCCTTGCAACATTCTACCATCAAAACAATTTTCTGGGGTGTTTGGGAGAGAATAAATTATGTGATTATTTCAGTTTTAGACGCGCATTCTTTTCTAGGAGTAAGGCTTATACTTAATTTTATGGCTTTCAAAAAGTTTAGTTCTCTTATTGTCAATTAGCATGTCGCAGTTTTCAATCTAATGTATTAGTATTAAAACTAATTTCATACTGTTGAAAAATTTTACCATTTTTGAGATGATATGTGAAATATCTATGAAATAAGATTTTAGTCTTCAGATAAGGATGCTCGCTCTGCTCGTGTTTTGTTGTTTTTGGTGGTTCCTTGCCATATATTTTTTAACTGGGTTATACACACCTATCACGAAGGAAACAGTCCACCATCAGACCTACTCTTCACTAGCGTTTACATTACTGCTGCATTTCTGCAGGTGCGTATCATCGTTATTGCATAATGCTGAGAGGATATTGAGCCTTCTCGAAATTTTTTTTCTCCTGAGTCACAATCTTTTTCTATCTGTTTATTAGTTTTCAAAAAAAAAAAGAAATATAAGAGTGCACCTCATGTTTCAAGAAGATAAAATTTAAGGAAGTAGTTTTAGATTTAATGCCATTATGCTAATAGAAGCAGAAGGTAAAGTTCTGGTATTGTTAAATATTGAACTTAATATATGTTTAAGGTTTTATTACTTCTGTATGTTTGTCAGTTGCTCACAGCTATTTTGTGGTCGCTGCAAGTCGATCCGGATTGTGCTGTTATACCATATTTGACTGCCCTTGGTGATTTATGTGGTACATTTTTACTGTATTTGATATTTATTTTTTATTCATGGCTTTGCAGAGATATAAATTCCGGGTGACAATGCATGATTTTAACTACACTTCTTTTTTATGGTCACTTAATCTAGTTAAATATCGACATTCGTTACTCATTTTGTCTAGTAACAAAAAATTAATTGAGTTACAATATGATGAAGTTTGTTTGGGATGAAAATCAGTTTTTTAACATGAATTTTGCTTAGTGATTTGATCTAATGTGTATTTGTTATTCTTCAGTACATAGCAAGTCCTGTGATACACTACTGCAGTTGATGATCATATTGTGTAATTTCTGTAATTTCCAATTTGTTGCATATCTCTATCTTTGCGTCTCTATCTTGTTTTTTCCATTCTCATTTCATCTTTTGCCTTCTGTACTAACATCGTATGATTTATTTATTGCTTGTTTGAGAACCATTCTAATGTTGTCAGATTTTTGACTTTACAAGTCCAAATTCATCACTTAAAAAAGCTCCTGTCTCCATTTGCTTTATGTCTTAATTAATTTATGGCTTTTATCGGCTTCTTATGATTTTTTGCATAATCAGATTTCAGTCATTTTCATGTCATGTGAATAAGCAGTTGAAGATATATATCGAATGGATTAATTAAGTCGGGTGAAGGATCATGTTAACTACATGTATGTAAGTGCATTCAGTAGATTTTTGTATCAGGTTTCATCGAATTGATCATTTGTCTCTATAGACTTTACTTTGTTAAAGTGGAAGTTGCTTTGTTCTGTTGGCATATGTAACATTATGTAACTTATCCATTACTCATGTTTTGCCGAAAATGGCAAACACAAAAAGAAAAAATACATGGTGATAGCATGAAGTTTTCTTCGCTGTAACAGAAATAAAGGTTGGGTTTGCGACGGTAAATATCTTTATATATCGCGGAGCAAATAATTATGATGGAATCTTTGTAAGGAGATCTTGGAAATATCATGATTTATTTCTGTTATGGTGATTCAACTGGTAATAGAAATTGTATTGTATTCTTCCATGTTAAGCTCTTCCAGGTATTATATTTTTGTTGGTTGTGAGTAGTATAAAGCTTTGTATTCAGTACTATATTTTCTTTCTGACCATCATTTATAGAATTACAAGTGAACTAATGTGAAAGCAGTAATCTGTTTCCTTACATAACGGAAACAGTTTTGTGAAGATACATTTTTAGTTGAGATATCAAAGTAGCTTAGACTGTTGTGGAGTTGCAGAGATTATTGTGCTTGTGATGATGCATTAGTCTTACGTGTGTCGGTTGTAGACTTATAGGATAGGATTTGAATTCATAAGTATGACTAGTTTACTAAATTAGATCTGAAATATTATTGGTTTAAGGACTCCGCATATTTTCGATGCACAGGTCTGGTTAAATTGGAACTTGTTCCTTAGACGAGATGAGCATTTGTGGTGAATCCAGTAATTGTTTGTATGTGCATTTGACGTAGAATATTGTAAGTGTAACGCTGATTGAGGTGAGTTGGTTTTTCCAAATGCAAACAACATGATTTTATTCACTATAGTCGTTCAGAACAGCTCGTCAACATTACTGAGTGAGTAAATACTACGTGAGTGTTAACGTGTATTTGTAGACCAAATAGGTTTTATTGAAATGAGGAACCACTGACTCCTTTCTCACAAAAATCAATTGAGTCTGTTTTTGGTTGCGGTAAATTGCTTATCTGTCAGTCTTTATTATTTCATATTCTTACTAGATATGATTATTTGTTTTGCTTCGCTTGCATGAATTATTATCGTAGATGCGAGCTGAATAATTGTGGAACAAAACAGTATTGGAAGAAAGCAATAAGTCAAGTTATACATGTACTATAATATGAATTTGTTAAACCGTTTGACCTTTTCCTTTTAACATATGGGTAGCAAGTACTAGTCACATTGGCAGGTCGATTGCCAGTATTTCACTAAGTCATCTCTAGTTACCCTCTCTCCACTTACCTTCCATCCATTTTTTGAAATATATATATATATATATATATATATATATATATATA